TTATGGAAGGTATAGCAGCAATGCTGAGCTGATTTTGTTGACTTCTAGCTGACAGGGTGATAACTGCAAAAGTTCTCCCAAGTAGTGTGACAATGTCATTAGGACTGTATTCTCTATCTACTAATAAGCATAAAAAATTCTGGCAGTTTAAGTTTTGCAGAATGAGTGTTCTGAAAAAAATGCTATTTTTTTACTTCAGACACCACTTGTGATTTTTGTCCCTGCAGCTGTATTATTTCTCGTAATTTAATTGCAGAAAGCTCTTCTACGTGTTAATTCTCAGTTGCAATATGTTCCTAGGTGTCACCACAGGAGTTTTGTGAGAAGATGTGGATCAACAGTACTTATTTTTGGAATTATGAGTGTGATGCACTTTCTGCATATGTGGCTTTATGCAACAAGCACAACATCTGCATTAAATGGAGGACACCTGATTACTGTTGTAAGCAGATAGCTATGTTCTATACCCCAGAGTGGCTTTGTACTGCTGCAGTGTTTAGTCATGAGTTAAAAATAGAATTATTTCTATTGTTATTGAAAGTATCATCTCATTCTATCACAGCATTAGTACTTCAGGGTACAAGCTCTTAAGGTGTATTTTTTAAGTCAAAGTGTCATGAATCAGTTTTAATCTTTATTGAATGAATTTCTTAAAATACTGTTAGGAATATAAATGCATGCATTCTATTATACATACACTTGTTTTTACTACCTGTTGATGTAATGAAATGCTAAATAAATAACAGTAGCACTCACTGTCTTTTTTTGCATGACTTGCAGCACTGAGTTGTCCTGAGGGCAAGGAATACCAGCCTTGTGTGCAACCCTGTGAAGCTAAGACATGTTTGAATAAATGGTTCTATGAAGATTCTCCCTGTTCCCACTTACGGGAGGACTGTGTGTGTAAAAATGGCACTATTCTGCATAGAACAGACTCTGACCTCTGTATACCAGAAGAAAAATGTAGTAAGTGCTGCAGGACAGAGCAGTTTTGTAGATATGCCAATATTAACTGCAGCTCACTGTCAGTGATGTTTAAGCTCTGTGTCAGTCCTCAGTAAGTGAGATCTGGTATAGCTCCCTCAAACACAGCCTAGATTTATCTCACCAGTTTGAGCTTTCAGTGCACTTGGATTCAAGAGCCAGTGCTGATGTACTTCTACTAGGGAAAAATAATGGTCATTCTTCCATAGCACCCAGGTCTTCTTTCCTGGAGTACTCAGGAAGGAATAGCATTGGCAGGTTCTTTCCCTTTCCCTCACACTCAGTATTTATTTTCACCCATAGTGAAGCATTTGTTCATTTGGGCTTTTTGAGTCGTCATCTTTTCTTGGATTGCTTGATCATAATGCTCTATAGCACTCTTATTTTATGCAATACTTCTATGGAATTCGTAGTTGCTTGCAGGAAAACTGCTCTCTACTTACTGAAGGGACATGTTTTTTCTCTCAGCATGTACAGATAACAAAGGACAACCCCGCTCTGCTGGAGAGATCTGGAATGGGTCCATGAGAGGCTGTTGTATGTACAACTGTTTAGCAAATGGAAGCATTGTTGCTGTAGAACCTGAATGCAATGAGGATCCACTACCAGTCTGTGAAAGAGAAGGGGAAGTTATCTTCCATGTCATTGAAGAAAGAGCTTGCTGTCCAAAGAAAGTTTGTGGTATGTACCACACTTGTTTTCAGTCTCAGAAGTATAAGGTTAAGTGCTTATCATTCACCGGCAGATGACAATCTTTAGACAGGGTTCAATGTAGCATTTTTCAGAAGTGTTTTTTACGTACTTGTGGTTGCTTGGGCCAGCAAAGCAGGTTCTTTGCTTTGTAAGAACTGACTCACTGAAATAATCTGTATATATATTTTTTTTCCCTTAGAAGTCTGCTAGTGAAACAAAACTTCTGTTAAAAATGATTTTTTAAGCTCTTTGGTTGAATTTCAAAATAGATTGATAAATACTCAATGATAGAAATAGCTTGGTAACTGGGGTGGTGATCAGAGCCTGTTCGCTTTTCTTATTAGTGCTTTGTTGTCAAGAGCAGTATCCTCTGACCTACTGCTGTTTCCCAGAAGCAATATTCTGTGAGCTGATCACTGAATACTAATATTCTGTCTAGCCACAGTTAAGGAATAAGCTCATTGCTCCTAAAATGATAACTAAAATATATTAATTTCTTTGTAACATCTTCAAGGAAAATGAGCACAAATGGTCCAACTGATATGATGCTTTTGCTCATTACATACCTGTAACCAACACTGTATTGTCAATTTGTTTAGGGAATATTTTCACTGGGACATTTTAGCTGGCTTCATGCATAGGAAGCAGAGTAAGTAAATACCTGCTTTAAGAGAAACATAACTGTGCTTGCACAATGCCACATGATTGGAGCTCCACCAGCCCTGGGCTGAACTCGGAGGTCTACATGATTGTATGGAGTGCACTTTAAGCTGACTTGGGCTGCTTGTAGTTTGTGGATCTCTATATTGAATGGTGTATATGTATCTTGAGTTATAGAACTTGGACTCGTCTGTTCAACTGTGTCAAAATTGATTGCTTTTTTTATCCCACAGAATGTAACATGTCATTGTGTGACACCATTATTCCAACATGCAAACCCAATGAAAAATTAGTGGCAGGTTACCACCCCCTGTCCTGCTGTCCACAGTACCGATGTGGTAAGGGAAATACAAAACCACAGTTTTTCTGGGACATTTTCCACAGTTGTATTATGTTGTAAGAAAACATGCCTAACAAGTAGTTTTAATTGTTAAGAGTGGGACATTGTAAATAGCACCAGGCAATGACATATTTTTTTCCACATGTCAATACTTTTTTGTGTTTGTGTTTTGAATCATTTTGACTTGCTGCGAATTTGGGGTAGATGAAGATTATCTATCTTTTTAGTATTATTTCTGTGACTCTTTCTAGAATAGTGTTTATTTCACGTCCTACAGAATGTGATCCTTCAGCTTGTTTCAATGCTTCCCAGCTGGACTGCAGAGAAGATCAATTTATCGTGGAAGCAAAACAGGAAGATCCTTGTTGTTTCTCTTATCTCTGTGGTAAGAAGCCTCTTAATATTTTTATGATTAACTAAGGAACAGTGAAGTATTTACAAAAACAGTCTACAGTTCTAAACCTAATAATTTAAGTCAGGAATTCATGGAGACGTCAGTGGGATTTCACTCAGGTCAGACTGGCTAGAGCATAAATTATTCTTGAGTTTTGGGATATTTTGTTTCCAAAGTAATTTTGAACAAAATACTTGAACTTTGTTATGCTTTTATATTTGAATGTCAATCCATAAAAGCTCTGTTATCCAAGTAAAAAACATAATGTGACTTGTTACATAGCTTATTATAGAGAATTCATATGTGCTAACTTTTCAGTACTTAAAACTTTTTAACTGTCTGCTTTATTTTCAAATTTAGTTTGTGAATCCTGTATTGAGCCCGTTCCCTTGTGTAATAAGGGGGAAATTCTCACTGTAGACCTTAATACCATACATTACTGTTGTCCTCATTACTACTGCGGTGAGTGTAACTCTTGTCAGTTCAATATGTTAATATATGTGACAGACTCTGTGTGTGGAAATTTAACATTTAGGATGAGCTTCAAGAGAGATTAGGAGAGCTAAATTAGGGTGTTCACACTGAAGTAGGTTAAAATCTCTTGGTATACTTAGTGGTGGTCTAACCAACCCAGTCAATGGAGTCTGGAGGGGTTATTTAGTTCACCAGAGAGAATATAGCTACTTTCAGGGTGATCTAAGTACTGATATACTGATGTGGAACTGAATCCCATCCTTGGAGTATAAATATACAGTTGTTCACATACTAAACACCTGTAATAAAACAGCTTCCATATTGTTGTTCCTGTGTTGGACCATTCATAGAATCAATAGAATAGTTAGGATTGGAAAGGACCTTAAAATCATCTAGTTCCAACCATTTAGGCAGTTTCTTTGCAGTTTTAGGTTTTAGAGGAAGCAGTAGGCCAAGGGTTTCAAATACTGCTGGGCTGACTGCTATTCAAACAAGGAGCAGCCAGAAGAAATGTATTTGCAGTTTAATGTGGTCTCTTTGATAGCCTCATAAACCCACAGGAATTGTACTGTCTGTTTTTAAGTAACTCTTGTCCTGTTACAGTCTTTGAGTAATCTCAATTAATTAAACAGTCTTCCAGTAAGTCTGGAGCTTAGTAATTTTTACTTCAGGTAGTTCCATATTTTGGTCCTTTCCCTTTCCTTGCACTTGCATCCAGGTGAAAGTTTCTGCAAAGGCCTTTGGCACTGTTTTTGCCAAATTCTGGCAGGTAGAAAGTGAGATCTTAGTATGTGGTCTTCTTTCAGAGTCCCAGTAAGCCACCTCCGATAAGCCAGGCAGATATTTTCTTACTGGAGTCACCCCATGAGGGCAGTTGCTCCCTGCTACCTTACAGAAATGTGTTGTGATTTTAGTTGTCTCTAGTATTAGTTATCAGCTTGAGTGGCTCTGAAGTAAGAGGAATACTAAACAATTCTTGTGTCATTTCTAAAAATGTCAACATGTTTTAAGGCAACTAAAAACACTTCTGAAAATCTTTATTTTTTGAGTTCCAAATACAACTCAGATGCTTAAAAAACACAACAAAAATATTTAAGATGTCATTAAAATAATTTATTAAGAGAAATATAAGCCAGAAATTTCAAAGGAAATTTGAGTAAATGTGTGTCTCTCATATTTCTTCCCTCCCTCTCCCCTTTAGTTTGCGATGAGAATCTTTGCTCTGAGCCTCCTATGAATTGCACAGATGAAATGACACTTGTGAAGGAAAAAACACCTGGGCAGTGTTGTCCAGAATGGCACTGTGGTAATCACTGCTTTATTCCTTAGTCATTGCTGATAACAAAAGTTAACAAGTAGATTACTGACTACCATGGATTTCTTGTTTTCTTCTCAGAATGTAGCTGTGAAAACATTACTATGATGACCTGTAAATTGGTAAGCACTATCCTTTAGATATTTTTAATAATGGTGCTCAACCCTCTTACTTCTCCCTTTGCATTCCTTGTCTCAACTAGTTGTAAAGGGTGTTGAGGCTGAACAGGGACAGGCATGTAGCTCCAAGTGTCTGCACAGTATTGTCAACTCTTTCTTGGGGAGATTTTGCCTTGTGTGTTATGTCAAAAGAAGAAAAGCAACTGCAGTATTATTCTGTTCAATGTTGACTTGAAATATGCTGGGAAGGTTTTCCATGTAAAGAATCCCAATTATTTTTACTAAGTAATGAGGAATAAGCTTTATGATCATATGTATCATCTGTTAATAATTTATGCTTTTGATTAAAATGATTTAATGTGACTGAATTTAGCTGATACGAGAAGTCATAAATATTTCGCTCTTCACATAGTTTTTCATAATAGGGACTGTCATCTGGAAAATATTTATGAATGAATGTTCAAATTCCCATTATTACTGTAGTGATGGGAATATTATCCCTATCAAATGCCTTGACCTTCTCTTTTGCCTTACGTGAAGGCTGAATTATATGAAGTCTAAACAGAAGTTGCAAATTCGAACAGCTATCACCTATCTTTTGGAAGAAAATTCATAGAAGGTAGCCTGCTTATTGCTGAAATAACTTTGTATCTCAGGAAAAATTGCTCTTCAGTGACTCTACTATTCAAATGCATTCTCTTTGCTCCGTTTAAAGAGATAAATACATTTAGTAACTCTGAACATGCTACTGTTTCTTAAGTATATGGTAATTTTTCTCTTTCATGAAAGCAGGGGTGGGAGTGATGAAAGTAATATTTTACATTTTTAAAGAAAAAAAATATCTGCTTAGCACTACATTTAATTGTCCATGACTTTGCAAACTCTTTTATCTTTTTATACTCAGGGAGAAGTTAAAAAAATAGATAGTAATGCTTCCAGTGCTTGTGGATGCACTCACTACATTTGTGGTAACTTTTTCATATTCTTAGCTGTTTTGGTTTAGTTTTTAGTAAAAAAAGCACGCAAAGAAAGCAGAAATAGGACCATAATAACTTTCTCAAACATAAACGCTCCTTCATCTTGATTTTGTGAGTGTCTACTTAGTCATGCCATTACGCTCTACTGAATACGATGCTTAGTCTGCTAACTCATCCATTTTGGTGGGATGAAGGAGTGTCATAAAACTGCCCATGCTTTCAGAGCCAGGCATGGTCTGCCTGGTGGGAGGCAGATAGTGTGCAGATTGTGAACCTTAGCTGAGTGTGAGCACTGCGAATGCTGCTAGTTCAATACTGAGCACTAATGAGACATCTCAAACCAGAGCAACAGACCTGTCCAGCCAGCACAAAGGGTAGGTACCCTGTCTTAAGATCAGACCTCTGCCTCTCCTCTCACTCAGCTACCCTGCGTAGACTAGATTTTAGCTGTGCTGTGGATGGGGCTACCTGCTGTCTGCTACAATCGTGACTGCAGCCCAGGCTTAACTGCCTCCAGGAGCAAAGCACACGTTTACAATACAGCTTGAACATGTTACTGTCCTGTAGGTAACTGCAGATATGCTTGTTTAATTGACAAAAAGGCTACATTTTGTGATGTGCAGAATAATTCAGATAGTGTATGTAGCCCAATGTTCAATATTAGAACTATTTAAAAATAAGAACGATAGATTTTATTCTTTTTAATTCCGTAGCAGGAGCACAATCAACTTTAGACAGTTTTGCATTATGTAGCATCTTCTTAAGCTGAATTACACCTACCCCCCACCTAATCTGGTAATTAAAACCACAAACTAACAAAAAGTTAGAATACTTTTGCAGAGCATAGGACTTTGTCCTCCATTTGCCTTCACAATGATTCTGTTAATTTGCTTGATGATTTTTTTCCCCTTCTGGTAACATATATTTCTTTTGGTGTTAGAGAAAGATGATGTGTGCATCTTCCAAGAGGTCACAGTACTGAATCCTGGACAATCAGTGATTCAGTTCTTGGATGGAGACCTTTGTTACACTGTACAGTGTTTACAAGAAAAAGATCAGAACACAGGATACAATGCCATGCAATTTACAACGGTGAACTGTTCCCAGCAGTGTAAAGCTGTGAGTATTCTTAAAACACAGGAATGATGCAATTTGTGAGCTCAACTACACCATGAGGATAAAAGTCCAAGTGGAGACTTTTGCTAGTCCTGTTTGCTCAGCAAGGATTTGAGAACTTAACAGTGATGTGTATCCTGAGTCTCCAGAATTATTTTGAAAGGCAGTTTTTAGCAGCATGTGTGTTTACAGAACACTTGGTTATTTTCTTTTTTGTTGTTTTCCTTTCTTTCCAGAATCAAATATACATTCCTTCCTCCAGTCACCATACGTGTTGTGGTACCTGCCAAGACGTGTCCTGCTCTTTTCATACTGAGAATGGAACACTAATCATGTATGAGGTAAGTGCCTCTGGACAGAGATAGGAAGTAACTATAACGATACAATAAACAGCTGTCTGTCAGCCACTTCTTAGTTAACTCATGCTGTGAGTCTTTGCTTCATACCTCACTACTGCTGGTTACACAGGGACTATTTATGGTATATGATGGGAAAAAAGTGTTTTTATTTAAAGACCGTCCATTTCACACTAGGTGAATACCTTGTTCATTTTATTTGGTGTAATATTTTCTACAAAGATATACAAACATCATCATTTACTTTGGGCTTGGATATGTTTTAAGTGCAGGGCAGGGTTGAAATTGTAACTCTAAGTCACGTACAGTGATCTAGATGCACTGGGAGCTTCTGAGTCTGCATCAGGACTCCTATGTCCCCCTCTTCCCAGGGCCACTCTTCTCATTCTGGTTTCTACAGAAAGGTAGTGTGCAAACTGAAGCACTGGGGTTCAGGATCCTGATGGTTTGTTCCAGCATTCACATACAAGGAAATTCAGATGTGGCCATGGCTTGGTTCATGCTTCCCATTGCTTTTGGAGCAAAAGAAACTATTGGGCTTTTTTTCTGGCACAGAGTCCTTTCATTCTGCACTACAACACCAGTGCTGAGCTGCATGCTGGAGAGTAGAACCGTGGCTCCAGGGAGGAGTAGTCACTGGCAGTTAGAGGATGGTCTTTCCCTTTGCCGCCTGTGGGTGGTCTGCAACAAATTTTCCACTCCAGTTGGTACTATAGCATGAGGAGACTGCTTTCACAGGCATTTGGGGCTGGGGATAAAGCCGAAATGTTTTGTATTTCCTGACAATGGTCTTGATGTATATATTCAGGAAGGCAGCACCTGGACCTCCAACTGCACTAACTACAAATGTGCAAAGACTGCTTCAGGGGCTGTCATACTGGGATCAAGTGTTGTCTGCCCCCCTTTTAATGACACTGAGTGTACAAAGGTTTGTACTTTGGGTGAGGTAAGTAACAATAACTGACCTGAAGTCAGTTATTATTGACTGGACCTCAACAACGCATGTATATTTCATACACTTCCTTTAAATTAAAAAAGTGGTAAGTAAAAACATGTAAGAGAACAATTTAGAGTCTTGTTTTGTCTGACAAAATATTTATGAGGAGTATAAGTTTGTTTCAGTCTTAATGATGACTGCTTTTAAAATATCATGGAATTGGAATCATGCTTGATGTATCACTATATATGACTTACTTAAGTCTGGAATAACACTTCGCCCAGTTTGTAGTACATATACACTAAATAAACTGAATCAAGCAATTCACAAATGCTGCGTATAAAAGAAAGCTATATTTAAAATTCCTTAAGTTATGCAATGATTAGGAAGATGACAGAGTATATAAACTTTATTATCTCTATAACTAAATTTTGTATAACATAAAAAAAAATCTGTCATACATGAAAGGGTATCTACCTACATCATATATCTGAAAATGTAAATTGGACATACCCATATAAAATGGTTTGAAGAATGTGGATGCTTCACGTACATTACATACTTCTTACAATTTAATTTCTAATTTAATACTCCTCTAACTTAATATTTCTTATAATTCTTGCACTTGCAGTACACCATATATTTAAGCTACAAATAATAATAAAAGAACTATACATGCAGAAATATACATGTAGAAATACACATGTAGAAATACACAAGAGAGGGTAAGCAGAATTGCTGCCTTGACTACAGATTATAAATTTAGCACAGTCCTACTTATCCATTGCATTTGTTTAAAAAAGTACATGTCTCTTGCAATCCTGAAGGCATTCTATCTAAAATTAATGTCTGTTCCACTTTGACTTTATGCTCAAGTTTCTTCCTTGGAACTCTTTTGTCGCCATCTATTAGGATCTTGCCTTAGTAATAATGTTTTTTAAAGAATAGAAGCCTAAAATTAACTTTCTGAATCAGTCTAACCTGTTTTTCAGAGGTGCTGAGTATAGACTTGAACCAGTAGATGAGAAGAAAACCCTTCTGACAGGCAGCTTAGGACAATTTAGGAATGTGGATTTAAGAGGCTGAGTTTAAGTGCTTACTTAAGAAGTCCTTGAAGAACTTATTCAGTATTTTTCCTGTAATAAGATAAAAAATGCATGCTAGCATGAAAAGATGGAAGCTTTAAAATGTTTTTAGTCTGTTGTTACCATAAGAGTGCTATTTATGTTCAGTTGTCTGCTTGATATGCAGTTCTGGGCTATGCACTAAAATTGTGAGTGCCTGCGTCTTGCTTGTTCCCATTCTGTCAGATTCTGACAGTGCCTCTTTCTCTCTCTCTCTCATGCTCTCTTTTAATTTCAAAATGACATTTTCTTCACTTTCATATATTTTAACTTTTAGCTAACAGGCAACTTTAGCAAAAAACAGTAACAAAGACTGTAACTGAGAAAAAGAATTGAGCACATAAATGGTTCTGAAATTCTGCATTAATGCCCTCTTTCAAAAGTGTGTATATATACATATAAATATTTAATATTGTAAAGGGCTCCTTACTAGGTAGTAATTTTTTCCTTAGCATAACATCACTGGAAATCCTTTTACATCATCAGCAAAGTTGCACACCTGAGTTTATTGAACTGTTCTAATAAATTTCGGGGTGGGGAAATAGATAGTAGTGGATGATATAAAAAGATGCTTATAGAAATTAAGTGGCTTATTCAAAGACACTAGATTAGATCAGATAGGCAGTGATGAGTTCATTTCTGGTGTCAAAGGCTGTAAAGAATTTGTGAACCAAACCTCCAGCTCATACGTACCTGTAATTCTCTTGACTTCAGTGATGCTACTTTTTATTAGTTGGACATCTTTAAATGGAATGTATTGAGATAAAATTCACTTTTGCATTGGGCACAGTGTTTTTTGCTACATTCTCTTTTTATTTTCCTAGAATGGAGGAATTGTGCAGACATATAATGATGGCTGCTGCAAGACCTGTAAGTGATAAAGGCCACAATATGTGCTTAGTTTGGCTTTGGTTTTGGAGGGTTTTTTTTTAACCTCAGTTGCTGGGACATAAAGAAGGGAAAAGCATGCAGTCCCCCCACAAATCATATAAAATTGCTATAGTTACCTAACTACTCCTATTAAAAGGTTTTGCTTCACTTGGCTGCTGGCTTGGTGATCTTTAACTTTATTGTTCTGGAGTATAACCAAATCTCTCCAAATATAACCTGCGGAAGATCAAAAGTTACCTCAAAATAATGCAAACATTTTCATTTTCTCTGAAGTTTTGACTAGAAAAGCTTTTATTATTAAGGTATATAATTATGTACACATAAAAATAAAACTGTTGTGTAAAACTAATTGTGTAGAGAAAAAATTTTTGGAATGCCACAGAAAATTCTCCCCCGTGTTTTTGACCTTTCTAGTGTTCAACACTGGAGTTGAAATATAAAAGCAAATTAGTCTTTGGAATTTTTTTAGACAAACCTTTACTTAATAATATTGAATAGCAAGTCACAGACTTATAACCATATACTGCACAGTTATTAAATAAAATTCAGAAGTGCAATGAATTGTAAACAATTTGCAATATAAGAGGAAATGTTAATATATACCAAATAAACAACACTCAAGTTTCCAAGTTATGCAAACCTTTGAAAGTTAACTGCAATTATTGTTGTTCTGTTGTATCCAAAACATAGAAAATAAAAGCTATTTTAATACAACAGAGTATCTTTTTGTTTGAATGAGAATCAGCACAGAAAGTAACAAACCAGAACTGTGCTAAAATCTTACTAATCAATATTGCTTCTCTAATGAGATAAGCTACATTTAAAAATATTCAAATATCCCCCTTCCAAATTAGGTTGGATTTATGCAGAAAATTGTTGTAAAGTATTAATGGCTACTGATTTTCTGTTGACCACGAAGATTTGTAATTTTGCCCGTATTCTGTGGCCTCAGGAAAGGTATCGTTATACTTCAGAAATACCTGCTGAGGTGGCTGCTAAAAACCCAGATATAATCCATACAATTATATGCTATCCTTATTTTATTTTATTTTTAACTAAAAGCATGTGCCCTGTGGTGAAGCAGTTAAAAAGAGTACTTATAAATAGAGCTTGGGGTTTTAATGGGAACAAATAATCTTTCTGAAAGAGCTTGATTCAATGCATGCAAAGTGAGTGCATATATTTAATTCTTACCTTGCCATAGAGAGACTCATTGCAAAAGTTTGGTTTACATGGAAGCATCATTCCAGTTTTGTGTTAACCAGGAGGGCAATAAAGTTTAGGCCATCTTTAGTAAGGCTTGAAGCAGCTGCAGAGTTTCTAAATTTGGTAGACTAACAGGAAAGCTCATCATCTTTTGCTATAAGAAAAATTGCAGTTGGCAGTGTAAGAATTAATGAAATGTCATTTAAATAAAAATGTTTTTGTTTCATAAGAAACTTAATATTCCTAATGATTCTGCCAGGTTCTGGATTGGGTCTATTACCCTTTGCCATTAGTCCAGTAGTGCCTACTCATAGTATTAATTGTGAACCAGGTATTATTTTTAATAACATATTTTCTTTTTTTTTAGTAATAGTGTAAGCACTGCTTGATATACATGTATAGCTGTCATCACATTAAATGTCATCATGCAGTTAATGGTACTGGGCCTGATACTGAGAGATGCTGATTCCCTGTTGGCCTCCCCAGTCAGTGGTTTTCTAAAGCCTGGCCAGGGTTCACTGCTCAGCACCTGTCAGAATCAGGTTCATCCATTTATGGTATATGCTGCTGGTTCTTATTCTTGTTCATTTCTGAAACTGGTTTTAATACTGTATAGAGAGGTTGCAATTAGAAATGATACTTCAAAACAATTATTATCCTGAATACTGTTGTTGAGAGAGTCTAAATTTGATCCCAGGTCACTAATTTAATGACTGCACAGTTTTTGCTTTAAAGTAGAGCAAGACTGCCCATCTTATCTGTGCAGATATGGATTCGTGCTGTATTTCTTTTGTCACAAATAACATGTTTTTACAAAGTTATGATAAGGGGAGGGGGGAGGAAGGGCGAGAAACATACTATTACAGTCATACATTAGTAAATAATCTTTACACTAGGAATTACAGAATGTTACAGAACTGTTGCATTATGATCATAATTCTCTGCTTTTAAAGGTAGATAAGTCACAGAAACTCCTTAATCAAATAAAGAATAAAAAAAGTGCAACTGCTATGGAATTGACAGTTGAAGGTGGGAGAAAGAAAAGCATAGCAGCAGAGTTTCCACTGAATATCAGCACCTTATATGCTGAAATGTCATATATCCCTGTATGACTTGTAGAAGTACAAAGACTGTATTGTCTACACATATTAATGCTGGCAAGCACTTTCTGATGGAAATGTCACAGGACTTCTTTTTCTTATGTGTTATGGAAGAAGGAAAACCAAGATACTGTGGGCTAACAGGTTCAATGGTACAGTGATGTACTAGTTCGCTAACAGAATCTTGTTTGATCTTGCAATGTGCACATTAAAATCTAGCTGTGCTCTGCAGCCAGCCTAATTTTTAAACACCCACTGGAGCTGTGGTTGCAGGATATCTTGGTCACTCAGAGCTCATTTGTCTTGTAAAGAGCTCACAGTCTTCCAGGGAACAGAAATGTTCTTTTTTCTGTACACCCACCCATGAAGGCATGTGCTGCAGGCAGAGAAACTCTGCTGGATGGTGCTTATTATTTTAGATGCCGGATGTCCAGAATAGTTGCATAGCAAAACTAACAGGTAATTTTGATCGGAAGTGAAATAGGAGATCTAAATAACTGTTGTTACACAGACAGTAGCAACAGTCTCATATGGAATGCAGCAAGAAAGATCGTACTTTTAATTGTGTCAGTATTACATTATGACTTTTACTGTGTTAAAAATGGCTTTGCACCATACAGCTTTATTTTTTGAATAAAAGGAAAAACCTCCTATCAGTATCTCCAAGAATGTACTTTAAAATTTCCCTTATCCTAGATCCATCCGCTGACTCAGTGCACAATGATTCAGTTCTGGTGGCAAAAAACTGCACCATATTTAGCAAATATATGCATCTCTCTCCTTCAAAGCTTCCTTGAAGGACATCTTCCTCAAAAATATATGGAATGGTAGAGTTCTATTCAAATTTTTAAATTATTTTTATAATTTATTCAAAATAGCATCATGGTTGTAATCACATTTACAGCTTTACCTCTTCAAACGTTAGGTTCTGAAAATTTTCTTAATTGCAGAATCAAAATCTTATTTACATTCAATATTCCTGTTAAAAAAGAATTTATTTTAACACTATTCAAAATTATCTGAGACATCTTTTTTCCAATTGTTTATATTTGTCCTGCCATATGTACAATTTAAAATCATATTAATAACAGTATTTATAAAATCTGTTTAGCTTAATGGGCCAACTGATGCTTCATATGTGCAGCTATAAAATTAATAATTCTGCAGAGGAAGTATTCATTAATGTGTTATTTTTTTGCCTAAAAATGATTTTTATGGAAGTCATAGTTTCAGTGTGTACATTAATGAAAACAAAGTATTTTTATTAAACTTACTTTAACAGCTTCACTTTCTTAGTAGCAAACACAGTACAAAATGTGATTTGATTCAGTGTGCATTTTGTGTATTTTATCAGGCAAAAAGGAAGAAAGGATTTGCCAGAAAATAACGATTAGGACAACCATCAGAAAAAATGACTGTATAAGTCAAAGCCCGGTAAGCATAAAAGACCTGTGTTTGATGCTGGGCCTATGGCACACCAAAGCAAGTATTAAGTGGGTTATAGCTCTCAACAAGCTACAAAAAAATGCTACTATCTTCTCGAAAGCAGACCTTTGACCCTAGGAATGTTATCCTACTCGTAATTGGAGTAAAATTAGCTGTTCCTATGGCTGAAGGACTGACCCTCCTACCTGGAAAAACATGTGGCTTCAAATGAAAAGTGCACAGCATAATATAATTCATGTAGGCATTGAACTCTTCACCATGAAATATCCCATTCTAGAAGAGGAGTAGAAATGTTTTCACTTAG